CTTATAAATTCCTGCATTCATGTAGATAACTTGTTCATAAGGTTACTTATAAATTTCTGCACTTCTGCATTCTCATCTTAGAAATTCTGCCTATAAGTTTTTTTTGCATTTCTGCATATAGAAACCCTGTCTCTAAGTTTCTGCATTTCCGCATATAGAAATCATGATCATAGGTTTTCTGCACTTTTGCATATACATGTCATTAGGCAAACCATCATAGGTCTAATAATAATCAACTTCATTCTAGATACCATGCCTATAGGACTCTTGCATTTATGTAATCATTTAAAACTAATAACGTTTAGAAATCATGTCTATAGGAGTAATCAACTGAATCAGCTTCGTCTATTTCATCATTGAGTCTAAAATCAGCCACAAGGTCGTTTAAAATCTGCAGATCTTTTGTTTATAAAACCAATAATCTTTTCTTTAAAATCAGTACGCTATATTAGATATCATGTCTATAGGTCTCACCTAGGCAAACCATTAGTTGATTAATTAACTGTGTCAGTTTTGATAAACTACAACCAGACAAGGCTAATACGGATTCCTCATCTAAGAAATATGTGATAAATCAGCCTGTCCTAACGCTTTAAATTTAATTCAGACCTAATCAGTACCTGTAAGTCATGCTAAATAATTTGTTGCTTTGAATGAGGAGGCCTATTTGAGCCTTAACTGCTATGTGCTTCCCCTTTTACTGCTTTATGTGTTTTTGTTTGTCGCACTAGGTTTTTTGTCCTTTTAAAACTCTGAAAAGCCAATCTCCCTTCCCTTTAGGATTAGTAGTCCCAACTGGCTCCGGGACTGATAGGATTGGGGCGGGTAATAGCATGCAATAAGTAACGAAACCATTCAGCGATTTAATACCTTAACGGGATGAGTAAGGGTAGACATGGATATGATGACCGCGCGATAACACCACGTGTATAAATGGTTATCGGGTGTTGCATGGGGTTATCCATGTTATTTATAAACCTAGGACCCCCCCCCCCCTCCCTCTTTACTTGTTTATTTTCTTTTTTTCAGAATTTTTATAAAAGCTATAAATTTTCAGTTCTTAAAACTTCTTTTACTTCAATCCTTTAAAAGTCTCTTTTAGATATTTAATTTCCAGCACTGTTTTTCTCCGAACCTCCGCCTCTTTTACTCCTTTGTTTGATTATTTCTACCAATTATTTGACCCCCCTTTCTGTACTTATACAACCTTTAAACAATTATGAAATCGCCTATTTCTAAACTTCAACACGCTTTTAATTTTTATACTTTCCTTGTTGCAATCATTATGTGAAAGTTGGTCTTGTTTGCTTACTTGTTGTTTCCAGTCAAAGTCACAATTGTAGCATGGCCGGGACCCATACTAGTGGATCTTGGGAGGTGCCTAACACCTTCCCCCGAGATAATTTCAAGCCCTTACTCATTCTCTGGTTCTTCTTCTCTTTTGAATTTCTTAGTGTCCTAATGCACTTAATCATTAAGTGGTGACTCTTCTAAATTGCAAACCCAATTCCCAAAAGGAAAAGAGTTGTCCGCCCAAATGTCATAAACTCGATTTTGCCTTTAGAAAAAGGGGGCATCGACAATACCAGATACTTAAAAAGGAACAAGGAAAGCAAACACTTAAAAAGAACCTTCAGCAACAAACTTTCACATAAGGATAAAAACAGCTAAACATGCCAACAGAAGACAAAAAGAGAGGCTACATAATCATATAATATTATAATTAAATCTCCTTTGACAATTCCAATCGTATTCAACTATTGCACACAGTTAAACGAGTATTTTTGAATACCCTTATATAAACGAGTTTATCCACTGAGGCTATTTCATTACAAGAACAACCAAATACAGAGAGGTCGACGTAGCTGGTTGCATAAAAATACAGCAAAGGAGAAGATGCCAGATCTCTTTACAGAAACTTAGTAACTACTATCTAACTCTATGAATCCAATCAACAAATATAAAACAGAAAAAAGTTACATGCTCGAATTAGTATCTCCGTGTGTGTGTGAGAAAGAGATAGCGAGGGAGAACACAGACATAAATCATTGGTCAATTGTAGCTCTTAGTCTATTTTATCCAAAATACAATTATATATTATAACTGAACATATTAGTAGGCAATTACTACACTAAAAGGTCAAAAGAAATACCAAGTCTCTAGTATGCTCCACTGTAGACCTATAGCTATAGCTGTTTTCTGTTCCTTCCCAATACGGGAATTTGGTTTCATTTGTAACTGCTTTGAGAGTTAAAAGGGAGATTAAAATACAGGCTTTGAGGATGAAGATTAACATACGGAATGGATTAGAACTCATGCTTTTTTCTACTTAGCTGAAAAGATTTCTTGATTTAAAACAATTAATCACTATATATAATCTTATTTCCATGTACTAGTCAAATGGTTTTTTTCAGTTTACAGTTGAGTTGACTATGTCTTGTGGTTCAATTTGAAAAGTAGAAGGATGATCATACACTCATATACTTTGGCAAAAGTTTAGATGATCTATGTGCTTAAATTTTCAGATTTTTGTGTTATTCTTATATGCTATTTTCATGTTGAATTTTATGAAGAAGAAACAATCTTTAGAAATATTTTTACATGTTTATTTCATTCTTATGCCCTTTACGTTTAAAGATACCAATATGAGCATGTACATGATGTTCTATAAAGAAAAGATTTAGACTTGAAAAGTCACAAGAAGAAGTTTTAGAAAGAAAAGATTTTCGGGAGTATCCTTTATTCTGAGAAGGGGTCATCGTCCAGGCCGAGGGTCCTGACCAAGGCGTTGACTTCCTGAAACTACTTGTGCCAAAGTAGGGAGCACACGAGCCGAGGGTCTCGTTGCTGAGAATTTACTTAGCCATGCAAAGGTATGATACATGAGCGCTGAGAACCATGAAGCGAGTGGCACCTCGTGGATTGGGCCTATTCGATCAGGTTGGGATCGAACCCGTGCCGATCACACGGGGACTGAGACAGAATTAAGTCAGGATAGTTGGAACTCCCAAAGTATAAAGTGAAGTATTTTTTTATAAGAAAGAAAAAAGAAAAGAATTTCTTTTAGAATATTCATACACTGCTATTATGCAATTATTTTAGAATTATTCTTATAAGCTTTATGTTTTACATGCATTTAGAACCTTTGCTCGTAATGTATATGTTATTAAAGTTTCGCCCATGTTGTTGAGACTCACTGAGTACAATGGATGGTACTAACGTTCTCTTTTGGGAACCTATGTTGGTCTGCGATACAACGTAGGAACTGGTTTTGCAGGCGATCAGGCTACTGGTTAGGACTTCTTTCTCTTCCAGTGCTATTGGTGAGCTCCGCTTTTGTTCGTGGAGTATTCCTTAGAGTTATCTTTATTTAGTTATTTCTTTGTTTACTTAGAGAACTGGCCAGGAAATCTCATGTCCTGAGCACTGCGTCAGTTTATCAGAAGAGGCTTCATAGACATAGTCATTGGGCTGAGATTCAGATATTTCTTTATAATAACTTAGCAGTAATTCAAAATAGTTACTACGAATAAAGTTTTGGAGTTGATTTATTTAAATATTCGAATTAATTAAAAGTATTTGGTTAGAGTATTGCCTTGTTGCATATAAGGTTTGGAGTTATAATAGATTTGATAAACAGCGATGGTTCGCTCGGTCATGTTTAGTGATCGAGTGCCGGTCCCGGCTTGTTCAGAAAATGAGTCGTGACATAAGGAAAGTTTTTTTTTTGGATCCCGAAAAAAAAAGGAAGAAGGATCCGTAAGTATAAAACCTTTGGTCTAAGGGGTGATGTGAAAATTTTCAGTAAGTCTAGTTAGAGATTTGAAACCCGAATAGTTAGCATGGGATATGAAAAAGATAATCAGTTCGATAATGAGGGAAAATGTATAATTACCACAGGGATTATGTCTAGCATGTGTAAGAAACACAAAGTGATTAGAATGATCACCGAGCTTAGTTATTGATGATAAAGTGATCACAGAAAAACTATAAAATCATGCCTATTTATGTGTCACGAGGGTAGTGCCATTGCACGAGACTCTAGTCTTCTGAGTACATGTCAAAGACATAGGTCACAATAATGCTATAGGTGTTTTCAGGAAATGTTTAAGAAGATAAAGTGTGAGAAGTATAACTCATGATTGAGGTAGATAAGAGAACTCTGGTGAAAGAAGTTCACCAACCAAGATAGGAGTTCGACTTCGGACTTTGAAGATGATGGAGTTGTTGTCTAGAACAGGACGTGTTCCCCATTAGTAGCTGAAGAGAAGGAGAAACAATTCGATGATCCCTACGTGTTGCAGTTGAAGAGGAGATTCACAAGTATAAACACTACAAAAAACAGCTTAATTGCGGGGGTTATTTTTAAGGTTTGCGGCAGTTGGAAACTCCCGCAATACGTTGTTGCGGCAGTCGTTAAAACTGCCATAATAACAGTCGTCGCAATCAATTTGCGGCAGTTTTTTGCTGACCGCCAGAACTAAGTAGTGGCGGTTAATTTGTGGCGGTTGACCCCTGCAAATCTAAAATTAAATCTTCTTAAAATAATTTTCAATTACGAATTGCGGCGGTTTGAAACCTCCGCAAAATCTATTGCTGATGTAGCCCATTTAACAGACAAATCAGAAGAAATAAACAAGGAGCTTCAATTCTGAGGAAGAGCACACAACGACGATGAGCGGGAGAAGAAGAGAGAGAGAGAGACAGCGAATGGGATAGAGAGAGATCTGGAGGGAGCAATGGAGAAAATGAGAGAAGACCTCAAACGTGGCAAATCAGTACCCGATTAAAAAGACACGTCAAATCACAATAGGCAATTAGGAAAAAGACTAAAATACCCACAGTTTTAAATTTTTTGCCATGAAACACACACATCGAAACCTTCTCATAGAGAATGCAGAGAATCCTATAGAAAATGTGACTTCACATAACATAACTGCAGAAACCATTGTACCAAAAATCCAATTTAGAAGAGATTAAGATAGTAGCTTAAAACTCTCCAATATCACTTTATAGTTTGTTGTCAGCGAAATTTCAAACAAATTATAGAATTTCGCGAAAGAGCTATTTTAGTTTTTCTGGCATATAAGTTAGAAAAATTACAAATGCAAATGGTTATATCAGACTTCATAAATGCATGCAAGTGCAAAAGATAAAAACCCATGGGAAGTGTTCAACCACCAAGTTCTGTGACTTTCTTGAGTCCAAAACAGTTCAACTCATCAATGAGAGGTTGTAAGAAGATATCAATATTCTGTTTAGGATTTTTTGGACCAGGTATAATCACTGATAAAAACATGTATTCATCTTTCATACACATTCCCGGTGGCAAATTATATGGTGTAATTATCACATGCCAAGAAGAATATTGTTGTCCTGATTGACCAAATGGGTTAAACCCATCCGTGCACAAACCCAATCTGACATTTCTTACTTCAGATGCAAAATGTGGATATGGCACATCAAAATGTTTCCAAGCAGGAGAGTCTGAGCAATGACGCATTACACCATCTTTTTCATGCTCAAAATGCCATCTCATATGTTTAGCCGTAGAATTAGATGCATACAACCTTTGAAGACAAGGAGTTAAAGGAAAATAATACATCTTCTTATAGGAAATATTAGTTTTTTGCTCGGTACGTCTAAGTTTTGATCTCTTAAACCGAGGATGGCTACAAAACTTGCAATTATCAAGTTCATTATCTTCACGCCAATAAATCATACAACCATTGTTGCAACAATCAATCTTTTCTACTGGCAAGCCCAAGCCTCGCATTAGCTTTTTTGTACTATAAAAGCAATCTGTCATTATGTTATCAGCGGGCATCAATTCTGATAAAAATTGACACAAGTCATCATAACACCTTTCAGAAAAATGATGTTCTGCATTTAAATTCAACGGTCTAGCAACGGCAGACAACTGCGAATGTCCGTGTGGGTTTCCCACCCATTCCTGTTCTGATGCTTTGAGCATATTATAAAGATGTTGAGTTGTTGGATTCGGGTCCTCTTCTAAGTTCCGATCATAAGATGGCTCAACAACATCAAAAACCATAGATTGAAATGAGTTATGAGATTGGGGATTATGAGTTTCTTGTTGTACAGTTTCACCAACTATTTCTTCTTGATTAACATTACATACTCCTGGATATGGAATATAACTTTCACCATGGTGATACCAACAATAATAATTCGGTACAAAACCGTGTCTTCCAAGATGTACCATAACACTAATTTCATCTAAGATATTTCTATTCCGGCATTTACGATGATTACAAGGACATCTTAGCTTTTCATCATCCATGCATTGTCGATGACATCTTAAAACCCAAGCTTAAAAACAGTAAAGACTTAATTTATTCTTTTATTTTACTAGTTAAGAAACTAACACATGTAGGTTTTTCACTTCACAATTTATCTATTCTGGCACTTTTGATGAAGACCCACTAAAATTTTTCTATAAATTTCAAATATTTAGAGTTGGAATAAAATAAAATTGAATAAAATAAATAAATAATTAAATGCATGGTATGCAATAGTTTTTTAGTTTACCTTGAAGATTTTTGAGCTTTAGTTGAAGGATCCAATAGAAAGGGCAGAGAAAAATTAAGAAGGGATGATGCTGTTCACTTCAACAAACTACTTTTTCGAGCAAAGCCTAACTGGGAATGGAGCAAATCAAAGCTGAAACAGATTGAAATAAAAAAGAATAAAAAAGTAGCCCAAAAATTACTAGATTTATGAACAAAGAGAATGATAAAGAAGCAAACCTGAAAAGAATGAGGGAGTCAAATAGCTTGTAGTGAAGCTTGTTGAGGATGGTGATGGACAAGGTATTGAAGAATCGATGGNGGGGGGGAGAAAATAAGGGTTTTGGACTAATATTTGATGTAAGGGGGGAAATACGGGTGGGAAAACTAAAAGGTAGTCCAAAATTTTCTAAAACTAGTGCTACACACATGGGTCAAAACTATTACCTATTTTAAGCTTTTTTAATTTTGTGACGGATTTAGATGTATGTCACAAATTTGTGATGCATTCGGCCGTCACAAAAAAATAATTTGCATTACTTATTTATTTTAAATAATATTGTGACGGAATTTCGTCAGATTATTTTGCCGCCATAATTTCGTGGCAATTTATTTTTGCCATCTCTAAGTTCCGTCACAATTTTGTTACAAATCCGTCACAAATATAATTTTTGTAAAATATTATATTTTTTCAGCAAATTTTAGGCTACGTAAGGATGATCCATCACAAATCCGATAAAATTCCGTCACAATTTTTTGAACAACTTGTCTATCACAAAATTTCCGTCACAATTTTGACTATTTTTGTAGTGGCTTTTCTAAAATTCGTTTTGAAAAATGTATTTTCTCTGCCTGGTCCATTTGTTGGGACAAGCGTGCGCTTGGCAGAATCGGTGGTCTTAGACTAGCCACAATTATATTATTTTATAAATAAAAAATACAAATAAAAAAAATTTATTTTGATGGTATGATACGGCTGTGAGCCGTGATGTTCAGTTTGATACGGCTGTGAGCCATGGTGTTGAGTTTTATACGGATGTGCGCCATGATATTGAGTTTGATACGGCTGTGCGCCATGATATTGAGTTTGATACGGCTGTGCGCCATAATATTGAGTTTGATACGGCTGTGCGCCATGATGTTGAGTTTGATACGGTTGTGCGCCATGATGTTGGGGCATTGTGTATGCCTTTCTACATCACCCAAACATTGTGTATGCTTCTTAATTGATATTTATATTTGGGTCATTGTGTATGCTCTGTTACACATTTGAGGCATTGTGGTGCCGTTGTGGACTCGTAAAGGCGTTGTTTAATTTCTTTCACTGTAGTCATGACAAGTCCTTAATGTATATTGTGTTAAGATATGTGTACTCTTGTTGGTTAATTCTTATTAACTCTGTTGATTAACATGTATTGAGTTATTGTATAATTATCATCGTTCTTGTTGTGGTGTACTTGTATTTTATAATACTTATTCCAGAGGTATTCAGAGTGGCGGGTCGAGGATCTTACTGGGTTATATTTACATATAACTCACTCCTTACCTGCATGTCTATGCAGATACTATTGGTGATGACGGAGCTAATAGCTGACGAGGTCGCTAGAGTTGATTCAGTTATTGAGGTGAGCCGCCGCATTGTTCGTGGAGGCTGCCAAAAGAGTCTTTATCGTTTATCCATGTGATGTCTTTTGTAATTCTCTTAGATGTTCCATGGTCTAGTGTAGAATTTGGGCGAGAGTTTTAGTTTAATATTCTGAGATACTAATTGTTCATAATTAATTATCAAATTGTTTGGATACTCATAATTAACCAAATATTGCAAAGTAATGGTTAAGGCATGAAAGTATGATTCGCTTGGCAGGTGGTGTTAGCAGGGTGCCAGTCACGTCTAGGGTGTAGTTTGTGATGTGACAGCTTTATACTGCGATTCCAATGCGGCAAACTTCTGTGTAAGAACTTGAATCATTCACTAATTGTTTAAACTTAGTTGCCAATTGTTGTGTTGATGCAATTAAAAAAAGATTATCAAATCAAAATTTATATCTGTGCTTAAAGGAAAGGTGAATTTTAATATAACTATACATGTCTGTGTTAAAAGGAAAGGTAAATTAAAGGTACATGTGCAGCAAAAAGCATGTAAAAGAAGAATAAAGACATTTTGTTTCCTCTGCGGATACCAGCAATTCAATTTGCTTCAACGAAGGTAGACTCATCCTTTATCTCATTTTTACATGATACAAATCTGCAACCGCCATCAAATACTTATTCAACAAAAAGCCACAGCAAATTTTACGATTAGAATAAGAAAGTATCATAACGAATTGAATCACAGTTTGAAACACTCCTAGAAACAAAAAAGTGATTTCTTTTCAAATAATTATATTTACGGAAAAAGCCTAAAAATGCCACTCAACTTTCAGAAATGGTTTATCCATGCCATCCGTTAAAAAAATGTTATTTTCATGCCACTACCGTTAAAGAAATGGCCCATTCATGCCATTATTGACTAACTGCTCAATTTTTATTTGGCCCCATCCATGCCACTGCCATAAGTCAATAATGGCATGGATGGGCCATTTTTTAACGAAAATGGCATGAAATGTATTTAGCACCAGCAACCTGCTGTAATTTTCTACATCCTTGAACTTGTTCAGGACCAAGTCCCCGTTGTGGACGCTGTAGCAACACCAGTTCCGGCACCAGCTGTGCCTATTGTGATCCCAGGCCTTCATGAGGCTCTAGCTTAGATATTATTAGTGTGTACCGGTTTGGCTCAGGCGGTCTTAGCTACTACGGCCGCAGCTACTTCACAGACCGGGGGAGGTATTCAGACCCCCGTTGTTCGCACACCTGATTAGGTTGTGCAGGGACTCCAGACACCCAGGGCACCTCTTGCCCATCCGGTTGCACCAGCCCAGGAGTTTGTAGTACCAGCGATGCCGGATGATGAGCATCGTCGACTTGAGAGGTTTGGTAGGCTCCAGCCTCCGACATTCAGCGGTGCAGAGGGCGAGGATGCCCAGGGATTTTTGGATAAGTGCCAGATGATGCTTCGTGCAGCAGGGATTTTAGAGACCAGTGGCATGGCATTTACCACCTTTCAGTTTTCTGGGGCTGCCTTCACTTGGTGGGAGGCGTATGAGAGGCGTAGGCCTGGTGGAGCAGTGCCCCTTACATGGCAGCAGTTCTATGTTCTATTTCTAGAGAAGTATGTACCACAGTCACGACGAGAGGAGCTGTGTAGGCAGTTTGAGAAGCTGCATCAGGGAGAGATGACGGTGATGCAGTATGAGATGCGATTCTCTGAGTTAGCCCGACATGCAGCTTGGTTGGTTCCCACAGTTCGAAAGAGGATCAGGAGGCTCGTTGATGGCCTCACATATCAGCTCGGTATTCTCATGACCAGGGAGAGGGTTACTGGTGCTACATTCGAAGAGGTGGTGGATATTGCCAGGGAGATTGAGTCTGTCCGTCGCCAGGAGCGAGGGGAGAGGGAGGCCAAGAGGCCTCGGGGATCTGGCAGCTACAGTGGTGCTCCTTAGAGGGGCCAGTTTCAGCACGGCAGAGGCCGACAGTTTTGACATGGACAGTCTGATCGCTCAGGTTATCGTGGAGCTCCATCAGGTCATGGTTCCCACAGTTCGCACCAGGGCCATTCATCACTTAGTGCCCTTCCAGCTCAGAGCTCATCCCGTGCTCCATCTGTTCAGGGCTCTTCTATGCCGGGTTAATCTGCCGGTCATTCCGGTGCGAGGGGTTCCCTTCAGTCCCCATCTCCAGCACCAGGGAGTTTCTATGAGAGTGGGGAGTTTGGACATATGAGGAGGCAGTGTCCCAGTCGTGTTGCTAGTTCATCCCAGCAGAGGGGCCAGTCATCAGCTTCAGCTCCAGTTGCTCCACCACCACCCGCCCAACCAGCTAGGGGTGGGGATCAGTCAGCCAGGGGTCATCCCAGAGGGGGAGGTCGATCAGGGGGCGTCACCCGTTTTTATGCTATGCCAGGCAGGTCCGATGCCATTGCCTCCGATGCTGTCATTTCAGGTACAGTCTGCCACAGAGATGCCTCTATATTATTTGATCCCGATTTCACCTATTCTTATGTGTCCTCGTATTTTTCTCATTATTTGGGTACACCCTGTGAGTTTCTTTCTTTACCTGTTCATGTATCTACCTCGGTGGGCGATAATGTTATTGTAGATCGTGTGTACCGGTCATGTGCAGTGACTATTGGGGGTCTGGAGACCCGAATTGATCTATTGCTATTGATCATGGTGGATTTTGATGTCATTTTGGGCATGGATTGGTTATCTCCGTGTAGTGTTATTCTAGACTGTCATGCTAAGACAGTCACTTTGGCTATGCCGGGTGTACCGCGGATCGAGTGGTGTGGTGTGACTGATTATGTTCCTAGTAGAGTGATCTCTTTCTTGAAAGCCCAGCGTATGGTTTGGAAGGGTTGTCTCTCGTATCTTGCCATCGTTAGGGATGTTGGAGCTGAGGCTCCCAGTATTGATTCTATCCCAGTTGTGAGGGATTTCTCTGATGTATTTCCTGCAGACCTGCTAGGCATGCCGCCGGACAGGGATATTGATTTTGGTATTGACCTAGTGCCGGGCACTCAACCCATTTCTATTCTGCCGTATCGTATGGCACCAGCAGAGTTGAAAGAATTAAAGGAGCAGCTTCAGGAACTAATAGATAAGGGGTTCATCCAGCCTAGTGTGTCACCTTGGGGTGCGCCAGTTCTGTTTGTGAAGAAGAAGGATGGCACTATGAGAATGTGCATCGATTATAGGCAATAGAACAGGGTAACAATTAAGAACAAGTATCTTCTACCTCGCATTGATGATTTATTCGACCAGCTTCAAGGAGCGAGGGTGTTCTCCAAGATTGATCTCCTTTAGGGTTATCACCAGTTGAAGATCAGGGATTCAGATATCCTTAAGACTGCTTTCAGGACTAGATATAGTCACTATGAGTTCCTGGTTATGTCTTTTGGGCTGACCAATGCCCCAGCAACGTTCATGTATCTGATGAACAGCGTGTTTCGGCCTTATCTTGATTCGTTTGTTATAGTCTTCATTGATGATATTTTGGTATATTCGCGTAGTCAGGAGGAGCACGCGGAGCATTTGAGGCTTGTGTTGCAGCGATTGAGGGAGGAGAAGCTTTATGCGAAGTTCTCCAAGTGTGAGTTTTGGCTCAGGTCAGTGGCGTTCTTGGGACACGTGGTGTCCAGTGAGGGGATTCAGGTTGATCAAAAGAAGATAGAGGCGGTGCAGAGTTGGTCCAGACCATCCTCAGCCACATAGATTCG